GATAGATAGATAGATAGATAGATAGATAGATAGATAGATAGATAGATGTATATGTGTATGTATGTATATGTATGTATACACACATATGTGTGTATACATATATATATATACATATGTATTTATATATATTTATAGTTCTACTTCTCATTCTACTTCTGGTTCAAGTTGAGCTGTTCTTGCCCTTGCTTTTCCCCCCAACCTTTATTCTCAAAAGTAGCAGAGTTTATCTGATTTCCTTGTTCTCTCTCCCATTCAAGATAAGATGCACTCCTAAACAGTCATCCTGGCTGAGCATAAGCTCTACTCTGGTCCCCAGCTTCTCCTGAATGGACTGCTCTCTTTGCTTAACTGTATCCTGTCTCCTATATGGACACATTTTGATTTTTATACAAAGGCAGAGCAATTCATTTTACCGCATCGGCCATCCAATGACATCTCTTACCTACCAACCACCCATTATCTCTGAAAAATGAAATCTACTAATAAATTTGTACTTTACTAATTTCTTCCTCTGATGCCTCATTTTGGCACAAAGATGACGTTGGATTTTTAAAGGCTAAGCCAATGGAGCACAAGCTCTGTCAGGTTCTTTATGCTTTAGCAAATGATCAATTTTTGTAAATGTATCATAGGATGTTGAAGAATGTGTATATTCTTTAATATTTCCATTAAAAAAATAACCAAAGTTCTTTCCATTTTTTCCAACATTGTTTATCTTTATATTTTCCTTCTTATCTCTCTTTCTATAGATTTACCTACCTGTAAAAGAAGAATGTTAAACTCTCCTGCCACTATTGGTTTAATACTAATGTCTTTCTATAATTTGGTTAGTTTTCCCTCTAAGAGCTTTGACACTATGTTCTTTGGTACATATACATTAATGTTGTCTAGCATATTCTATCAAGATTGAAAAAGTCTTTTAATTGTTTTTACATGTAATTGGGGGAAATTTTCAGTAAATAAACAAATATTTCTTTTAAAAGAAAGTCTTCGAATTTAGGACTGGCATTTGATTCTGTGCCTATCATAATAATAGATGACATTTATGTAGCACTTAAAGGTTTGGAAAGCACTAAAAAACATTATTTTGTTTGAGTGCAAAATAACACTGGGAAAGACATAATGTAAGTATTATAAGTGAGAAAACTGAGACTCAGAGAAGTTACACATCAAGTAAGTGTTGGAGGTTTCACTTGAACCCAGGTCTCTCCTGACTCCAGGCCTAGTACTCTTTCCACTACATCACACTCCAGGACCAGCCTTGCTAAATGTATCGAGGCTTATCACCAGAAGGGTGACCACCAGGTAGTGAACTTCAGCAACTCAAGAAGGCCTACAAAGGTGTGGAGGGGTCACAATCTGTGTTAGCCAACAGAGTACCTATAATGATAAAATCAGAGAGTGAGCACCTACATGGATAAAATTACTGATGCTTGGAATATCTGAAGAAGAAAGATGCATAAAAACAATTATTAACATAGCTATATATACACACACAAACTATATCACAAACATACTACAAAGGCATCTCACCCCCCATTGCAGTGGAGTGTCCCTACAGGTGAGAGTGTGAAATTGAGAACCAAGGGTGTATTAGGAGCATTTTGAATCCAATACCAAAGTTCTAAACAAACCTAATGTCTTTGTGCCTCATTTTCATCTTCTGTAAAATGGGCTGGTGACAGCATTACTTCCTTCTAATTTGGATGTAGTGTTTGTTAAGTTCCTGATCAAAGAATGCGAAGTACTAAGAATGACAGCCATGCAGGGTTGGATCCTAGAGAAAGGAGAAAACATTCTCCTCTGGATGGTCAGAAAGAATCCATCAGGCTGCCCACCAGAGAGCATCTCATTCAGATCTCCCTGAGGAAGATCTCATGGCTTGGTAGAAAGAGTCTGGACCAGGAATCTGAGAATCTGAGTCCTAGTCCTGGCTCCTCTCCCAACTAGCCCTGTGACAGTAACTTTGATCATCCCTCTACCTAACTGGATCTCAATGTTTACAAATATAGAACGAGGGGCACTGGATTAAATAAATTTTAGATTTTCTCTAAGGTTTCTTTCAGCTCAAATATTCTATAATTTTAGGATAATCATGATTGCTTTAGAAATATTGGGATCCTAGGCTCAATTTCATCTCCAGACCTTTAACAGACTGAATCTCTGAGTTGAAAAAGGTCCTTAGAAATCTTTGAATCCAGCCTCCCATGTCACATAGTAATTTCTACTACACCAGACCTGAGAAGTGGTCATCCAGTTTCTCTGGCTTGAATATTCACTAGGACCGGGAACTCACTACTTCACAAAGCTGCTGAGTCTCTGTTAGCAGAAGAATAATGGTATGCCTGCTTTAATTTTAAAGGAATCCAAAGTACATCCGCTGCCCATCTGCCTACACTTAGAAACCCATCAACTGCTTCACAGGTCCCTCCTTTAATGTGCTTAAGTCCTCCTAAAGATGATATATGTCACTTAAGGTATTCCCAATATTTCTAACTTGAGTATCATCAGCAGATATCACCATCATAGGCATGGCCCTACTCCCGGACCTTTAGTGCAAAAAAAAGGAGAGACCGCCTTCCAAATGATTGTGACATTCCTCCTTGACAAACCCCAGTCATTCCTAATGACACCCTATCTGCCTACTTTATTACCCCCTTCTCTATACCCAAAGCAAGTCAGCTACCTTCAGCCAGCATCAAAACCACACTTGGACAGTGCACCTCCATAAAAAGGCCTGAGTCTTAGCTATCCCCGTCTTCTCCAGTTGCTCGTATCTGACTATATCCCCTAATAATAATGGGACTTTGTTAATAAAAGATTCCTACATGTGACCCTGAGCATGTGGTCAATTAGAGAATCAGTAGATTACTACTGATCTACTCTGTCACAGCATATGAAGAGTCCTGGGGAGGTCACCCCATCTCCAACAACATCTCTTTCATTGTTCTGTCATGGTGCCTGAAATTATACCATTAACAAATCTATTGTCTTCTCCATCCTCCTTCTCTTCTAAAATGTAGAAACAGGGGAATGGCCGAACAAATTGGGAGATATGAATGTTCCAGGTTATTATGCCATAAGAATGACAAACAGGAGAAATTCAGAAAAACATGGGAAGACTCATGATGTGGTGCAAAATGAAGGAAGCAGGATCAAGAGAACAATATACACAATGACAAGCAAAACATCAGTAAACAACAGTCAACAAGCAATTTTGTCAATTACATGTAAACAAAAATTTTTTACAGGTATTTGGAGGGGTTTGGGGGAGAGCTCAAGCAAGTCACTGCTTTTACTCCACCATCTTGGCTCCGCCTCCTGTAAACAAAAATTTTTAACATTCACTTTTTAAAATTTTGAGTTCCAGATTCTCTCCCTCCCTGCCTCACCTGATCATTTCTTGAGAAGGCAAGCAATTTGATTTAGGTAATACACGTGCAATCATGTACAACATTTCTATATTTAGCCAAAAACAAACATTCTTGAAGAACTTACTACAGGCCAGGTACTGCTCTGTGGATGCAAAGAAGGGGAAATAATCCTTGTCCTCAGGATGCTCCCAGTCTGATGAAAGTAATAAAAACATTGAGAAGTATTTGGAATTTGACGAATGTAGTGAACAACCCAGCACTGGTAAGAAAACACACTTTCCCTCTTTCAGCAATGGGATGGGACCTGCAGGGGTAGAATATGGCATACACAATCAGACATGGTGGTGGTGTCAGTTGACTTTGCTTGAATGCTTTCTTCTTATCTTATATGGAAGGGTTTGATGGGAGTTTGTATTAAGGGGAAATAACCATGGTGTGAAAACAAAAGTCAACAAATAAACCTTTTTTTAAAAAAAGATGCAAAAGCACCTATGAGGAATAAAATTAATGACTCTTACTTACTTCACTAATAACTTATTGTGGATTAGTTTATCATGTGTTTTGTTCCAGTTTATAATGAATAGGGAGCTGGGAGAGTTAAGAGAAAAAAAAATAGAAAGAAAAGAAGATGGCAATTTTGCCTAAAATGAAATATAGTATTGCTTAGGGGCAGTGTCCCCATAATGCCATGGTGGCTGGTAAGCCTACTGACTTGAAAATAAGCAGGACACAAATTACTGCCCTATGACCTTTTATAGCCAAGCCCCTTCACTTGCAGAAGGTACTGTACACATTTATTCCAATAAGTTTAAATCATTCACTCCTTTTCTGGCATAGGATGTGTGAGCTAGGTGCCCGGGTGTGGGGAGAAACCTTAGAAATCATAGAATTCAAACCCTTCATTTGTCAAATGAGGAAACACATCTAGACAAGGGAAGAAACTCATGTGGGGTCATAGAACTAGTAAATATCAGAGAGAGTGGTGGAACCCCACTCTTCTGACTCCAGACCCAGTCCTTTCCCTACCAAACCACAATGGCTTGCCCAGAATCACAAAGCAAATAAATGACAAAACTGGGATTTGAATTCCAGTCCTCCAATTCCAATGTCAGTGCTTTCCCTGCCACTGCACCCTAGCTGCTTCAAGATGAGCATATTAAATTCATAGTGTGGTAGGGATAGAGACAAGTTAGGGAATTTGCTTGCGGAAGATACTTCTCTGGAAATTATTAAGAATAAAAAAGGCAGCTAACTTGCTTTGTGACCTTGGGTAGATTTTTCTGGGCCTCAGTTTCCTACTTTATAAAATGAAGGAAATAGACTAGAAAATCAGGAGGACTGCTTCCCAACTCTTTCTCCATTCTACAATCTGGAATATCTTAAGTAAATATGCATGAAAAAAGAGGTTGGACTAAATGTCATCTAAGATCCATCTAGATTTAAAATTGTATGAATTTTTAAGGTCTCCTCCTCCTGCCCTAGTATTCATTGATCTCTATACTTTTTAAAAATAAATTTGTATTGATATCTTTTGTTTTTACATCTACATTTCCCAATGTATCCCTCCCTCTTGTGTTCCCAGAGCTACCCCTTAAAATAAAGAATAATAAAGATTTTTTTTTAAGTTTGGCAAAACTAACAATACACATAAAAAGTCTGGCATTATATAAAGTATTGCACACCTATAGTCACCCACCCCCAGCTCTACAAAGAAGACTGGTATCTGCCTTTTAATGTCTTGTCTTTCGGGTCAATGGATGATCCATAGATAATGCAGTAGATAGAGTGTAGGAATTGAAATCAAAAAGGTGTGAGTTTGAATCCTGCCTCAGACACTTATCATCCATGTGACCCTGGGCAAGTCATTTCAACTCTCTGTGCCTCAGTTTTCTCATCTATAAAATGGAGATAATAATAGCACCTACTTCACAGAGTTGTGATGAGTCAAATATGTATGTAAATGCTTTGCAAACCTTAAAGCACATAAGCTTTATAAATGCCAGTTATTTTTTTTTAATGAAGATAGCACTGTATTTGGAGTTAAAGAATCCAGGTCCAAGTCTGACTTCACTTCACTCTTTATTAAGATAATAGAGGTCATCACATTATGATCTCTCTCTTCTTCCTTACTCCACATCTCAAAATTTTGCTATTAATTCTCCATTTTCTCTTTTTTTTACTCCAGTGTCTGATGAAGTAAGGGCCCTTCTCCTCCCAAATGATCAATTGTCAGATTTGATGGTCTTTTCTCAGTTTTTATCCTTGAAACTACTCTCTCATCTCTCATAGCAGATTCCCCCTGAATCATACTTCCATTCTTTTTAACCTTCAATCTCTCCCCATCTACTATTTCCTTCCCTGCTGCCTTCAAACATGCCCATTCTCAAAAAAAAAAAAACCCTTCACTTGAACCTAGTATCTTCTTAAGCTGTCATCCTTTCACCTCCTTCCTTTCATTGTAAACTTCTAGAAAAAGCTGTCTATATTTGTTGTGGCCACTTTCTTTTTTCTCACTCTCAGCCCCTGGCAATGTGGCTTCTGACCTTATCACTTAACTGAAACCACTTTCTCCAAAGCTACCAATGATCTTTTAATTGTCAAATCTGATGGCCTTTTCTCAGTCCTCATCCTCTTGGCCCATTGCTGGATTTGATCACTCTCTCGTCCTGGACATTCCTTCTGCTATGAGTTTTTATAACCCTGCTTTCTCTTGGTTCTCTTCCTACCCCTCTGACTTCTTCAGTTTCCTTTGCAGGATCATCGTCCATCTCCTGACAACTAATTGTGAGAATACTCCAAGGATCTGTCCCAGTTCTTTTTCTATATGCTCTCCCTTGGTTATCTCATCTGATCTCAGAGGTTCATAGAGATAAATGATGATGCCTCCTAGATCTGTATATCCAACCCCACTCTCTCCTTTGTACTAGTCCTGCATCATCATCTAGGTATAAGATATTTCCCGCTGGATGTCCTGTAAGTATCTCAAACTCAACAGAACTCATTCTCTTTCTCCCCAAAGCCACCCTTCTTCCAAACTTCCCTGTTTCTGACCAGGGTCCCACCATCCTTTCTGTCACCCAGATTTACAACCTGCCAAGTTTTATTGATTCCACCTCCACAGCATCTCTCACATCCATACCCTTGTCTCCACTCACAGGGCCACCTCCCTAGTTTGAGCACTCATCAGTTCTTATCTGTACTCTTGCAATAGCTTCCTAATTGATCTCATTGCCTCATCTCTTTCCTCTCTAATCCATCCTCCACACAACTGCCAAATTGATTTTCCTAAAGCACAGACCACTCCCCTGTTCAATAAGCTGTAGTGGCTCCCTATTGCTTCTAGGATCAGATACAAATTCCTCTGTTTGGCATTTACAGCCTGTTACAACATGGCTCCTGCTTACCTTTCCAGGTTTTTCACACACTCTATATGGCAGTCAAACTGACCTATTTGCTATTTTATACACCAATCGATCTCCTTCCACTCTCCCTTTGCCTTGGCTGTGTCCCATCCCTGGAACTGAATCTCCTCATCTTTCTTCCTCTTAGAATTCCTACCTCTTTACAAAGCTCAGGTTAAGTACGACCTCATTTCATAAGGCTTTTCCTGATCTCCCAAGCTAAGTGCCCCCCCAAATCCCTTATATTTCCCTTATGTGAACCTTATATTGATTTCTGTGTATGTCTCCCGACCCCAGTAGAATGTAAGCTCCTTGAGAGCAGGAACTGTTTCATCTTTATCCTCATATTGATAGTATCTAGCAAAGTGCCTGGCTCACAGTAGGTGTTTAATTAATATTTGCTTACTGCTTAATTTATTAGTTGTGTGAACTTAGGCAATCACCTACCCTCTCTGGGACTCTATGTCCTCATCCGTAAATGGAGGTAATAATATCTTGCCTTGTTCCCAACAACCTTTGTAGATCTCAAGGTAACATAGAAAGGTACATGGCTATTATGAAAAGATAATCCCTTCCTACCACCCCAGTCATACCTCCTCTCCAGCCTTCTAATTCATGTCTCAGAGGAAATCTTCACAAACAATTCTTTGAATGCCTGCTGTCCATTAGCTGGCCCAAGGACCAGCACTCTAATCATCATGTTAATGAGCCGAAGTGCACTTACCCAGACTGGATGAAGCTTTACAAGACATTCATGCTTAATGGCTGAAGCCTGCCAGGGGAGAAGAAGGATGGGTAGACTTTGCAGACTTACAGATCAGAGAGGAAGACTAGACTAACACATAACAAAGAAAGGGATAGTGTAGGTTTTTATCCCCAGAGGTAAGCAAACAACTCTAGGGTCACCCACATAACAAGTAGAATCTAAAACCATGATTCAGTTGAAAAATGATTGTTGTTAATCTGTTCTTTGTTCTAGGGCTTGAATGGGCTACCCAAATTGGGGGGGGGAACAGGAAAGATGGTTGAGGGGGATAGTTGGAGAGGAGGAGGAAATGAAAGCTTCAGGCCACGGGGAGGTCTGGCTGAAATTCATGGCGTTTATTGCCTGTAGCTCTCATCCCACAATAAATCATGCCTTGTGACATCTCTTGTATCATTCTCTTGTGTTATTATTTAACTCATGTATCAACATTTAACATTTCACATATTTTTGCTCAGTCTCCCAAGAGAGACTGTAAACTCCTAGAGGGAAAGAAACATATCTTAGAACTCTAATTCCCATACATGCCTAGCAAGGGCTGTGCATACAGTAGGCACTTTTTAAAAAATCTGCTGACTGATTCATTACCATCATCAAAAAGCATTTATCAAGCACTTGCATAATGAGATGCCATAGGAAGAGAGTTATTCAGACACAGCCTTGCCCTCTAAGAGCCTTCATAGGCCTCTGCCTCCACTTTTCCTATACCTCTTCCCTCCACACATTTTAATTTGGTTGACTCATCCCTCAGTGTTTCTGTGTGGATGAACACCCCAGGTGTAACCAACTAAGAAGCTCCTTGTCAGCTCCTGTCCCAGAAGAAAGAAGGTAGAACTGTGTAGTCTATATTGGCCTGGCTCTCAGGTTACATCCAAAGATTATCCAAGCACCTGGATATTCAAGAACTCTCATCTTCCAACTATTTGGAGGTGTTACAAAGAGACTTAGCAGGGCTGAGGCCTGGAATGTATTTGATGACATTTTCTATTAGTGACTTGGCTGAACACACAGATGATATCCTTAAATTTGAAGATGGCCCTAAGCTTGGAAGGATGCCTCATAGGATGGTAGTATCAAGGTTCAAAAAAGATCTCAACAGGCTGGGGAGAAAAGAGTTAAATCTAACTAGGTTAATTGGCA